ACAGTGTGTGGTCATTCAGAATTCTGTTGTATGAAAGTTCTGATATATGTTCTTTACCAAATGAGCCAAGACCAATGAGTCTGAGTTTGAAAAAATAATCATATAATTTATTTCGATGAAAAATGAAAACTGTCCCACAGACCCGAACACCATACAACGGTTAAGCAAGAATGACTTACTTGTATTTGCATAAGGGGTGTCAAATGATGATATAACTATATTAAATGTTTTGTGGGACTTGCCTATTGTATGGGGACTCAATCTCAAACACCATGAAGAAAATTAAACCTAATCTACATGGAATTTGGCCTATACAGGTATCCAGTTTATCAGAAGTAAAATAAATGGCATGCAGTAAATGTAGCATAAATGTAATTATATAGATTTGTGAAGTTCACGATTATGTTGCCTAAGAGGTATTTCTACAATAATTTGTCACATTTTTGTGTCACAACTATGTATATATTTTCTGATCCAATAGGATACACAATCACAAAAAGAGAAGAACGGCGCTAATTCACCAAGTGAGTATGAATTATTTTTTTTTTGTAGATGTGATATTAGTATGTTTTTATATATATATTCATAAATGCAGAACAGTGAGTAACTGCAACTATGTCAAACAGGCTTATGCAGACTCATTTAACAGTATGAATGAGAAGGACAGGTCAGCAGAGGGACAGAAGACCTTCGCTTCAGTCACACTTGCTTCATTTTTTGTCATTTGTATTTGCATAAGTGGCATCAAATGATGACATAGCTATTATATAAAATGTTTTATAGGGCATTTTTGACACTTGTAAAATGATTCATGGATGCAAATTGTGAAATAAAATGAAACCTGATTATGGATGCGTTGGTCTGTTATTGTCTTCAGTCTCATCAGAAACTATGAAGAGTCAGTGCCTGGGTAGCATTCCAACATGCAGTGCCATTGCGCTATGGGCGTCCCGAGTTCGAATCCCAACTTAAGGACGTTTCCCGATTCTGCCCCCATCTCTCTCTCACTTCACTTCCTGTCAGCTCTGATCTTTCCTATCATAATAAATGTGAAAATGCTATGACGAATCTGGTTAGAAGAATCCATTCTAATTGTATCACATTCAATACAGATTGCAAACTCAAATAGTCGACTCAGGGTAATATATGGCTTTCAGGAATGCGGCTTTTGAAAAGCGAGGCAGGAAACACACGGAATGTGTTTACATCTTTATAAATATTTATATATAATGGAAAGAATCATGAAATTTCACTGTATTTGAATCGACTACTGAAATGTTGGCATCGTGACGCCTTCTGGCCGGAGCGGGCAACCACCTGTGACGTACATAACTCTATCTACCGTTTACCCAGAGTGCTTTGCTAGCAGCAGGCAAACACATTTGTCAGCCTTCACTGAATTCCCATTGTCATTCTGTTCACCTCACAGTTGAAATAAAGAGAGCTGCAATCCATAACCTTTATGAGCGCTTGCACTCAGTCTCGCTCAAGCCATTAACATTTGCACAATTAGAGAACTGCAAGAGCAAATGCTGTTTGGGCCCCTCGATTTACAGTACAGAAACGGTGGGAAATGCTGTTCAAAAAGTAATAATCTAAAAAGCCCCTCGTTGTTTGTTTGTTTTGTTCTTTTGTTACATTATGGTAATTAAGAAAGGGCAATTATATGAGAGAGTGAGTGACCAAACAGAGGTAGAGAAAAGGGAAAATGTTACACTGCCGTTCATAAAAACATTAAGGGTTACCCTTAAATTGTATATATATATATATATATATATATATATAAAATACACCTTATTTTTCAATGTAGTAGTTTTCTCTGAAATGTGCAAGACTTCTGGTTCATTAGCCGCTGTAGGGAAATAGGGAGAAGAATAACTGCAGTAAATGGTAAAACTACAAACCACAGTGTTCATAATTAAGATAATTAAAATAATATGGTAAGACACACTAGTTTGCAGTATCAAGCAGCAAAACGATCTGTTTTGTACAGCTAAAATTACCTTGAAGCAGATGAGACCAGAAGCCTTGCACATAAAATTTACAAATGGCCACTCTTACGGGAAAAACAAGGTGGATATATCTAAATCCACAGTGTATAGATCATTCAGATTTTTGCATTGGGAGATTCATTTTATGACACATTTCCCCCTCCAAATTATCATTACTGTAATGCATCCAGATGTCTTTGAGTTTATGTAATTGCTAAGGAATGGTATGGACCAATCAGAAGACACCAGAGGCGGGACAAGTGTTGCAAGCTTTTGTTTACAGTAGCAAGTTGTGATGGCAATTTGGCGAACTTGGCATTCTGTGTTTTTTAAAACCATTCCTGAGCGCCATGTCTCATGTTTTTAGATGCAAAGATGTGTTCTGTGTGAACGGCACCTAGTATAGTTTTTTACAGCTTGACAGTAAAAATACTATGATTATTATTTATTTTTTTTAACAGCACATAGTAAAGGCAGCAAAAGTACTGTGATGATGTATAAATACAATTTACATTTGACTTAATGTTTTATTTTTGCATTTGCCTTCTAAAAAATGTAATGGTCCTACAATTACAACAAAACATAATTTTGTATTTCTTCCAATTGACTTTGGTGTGAAACATTAGGCCTACCATAGATAAATTTGTAGATGTTTTGACAGGTTTTGTGACACACAGACAGAAAGAGATTCTCTACCAAGCTCTGCTCGAAAGACATTTGAGAGGTTGGAAAAGTGGACATGAAAGAGCAGAAATGGTGTGATACAGCAGAGTGGCCTTTCCCAGCATCCTCTCTGTCTGTTTCCCACACTGGCTCATTTCCAAGTCTCCCGTTATTGTGAGAGCAAGCCGTTTATCATTTGACTTCACAGGTCGGTGTCTTCATTAAAGTCAGCACTTCAGCGGTGATAAAAGAGTAGCACACAGCGTACAGACACCGAGAGCTTAATGAAATGTTGTCCTCATTAATTTACGCAAAGCCGAGGGACACAATCTACAAAAAATACTTTGTTTTCTTTAATTAGTGCCTCGTTTGTCCATCTCTTTTCAGTTTTGCCGAATTTGCCCCATCTGCTCTGGTTAACTATGCAGACGCATGACGGTTGCCCATGCACAGATTATTTTGCTGAAGAATCGAAGCAAATGTGGCTATTTAAAAAAAAAAAATGTTTGTTTTAATGCCTCAGGGTAAATGATTTGTTGGCTTTTATGCTTGCTGTGTTCAGTTGGCTGTTCTACGTCTTGTTGCTCGTTCGACATGACAGAGGTGCTGTTGAATGCAGTTGTGGATGTTGATGGGGGCGCTGCAGGGCTGCGGTCGGCTTCCTGCTGACATACTGACATTTACTCTAACTGATCTGCGAGCCTTGTAGCCCGTCAGCATGCTTCATCCCACCCTCGCTCTTCAAAGCCTGCTGCTCACCAGCCAAACGTTAGATGCCTTCCATTATTATTATTAGTAGTAGTAGTAGTAGTAGTAACAGCAGCAGCAGTAGCAGTAAAAGTTTAGTATTAATATTTTATTAAATATTATAGTATATAATAGTTAGTATTCATTTATTAACCTCTTATACTGCCCTGTCATTTCTGTTTTGTTTTTTTGACCCTGCTTTTCACACCAGACCAAATTGCTTTCTAAAGTATAGAAGAAAGAAGTTTAGACATCACTACAGTTAATTTAAGGGGCATTATACAGACACTCACTTGAAAATAGTATTATATAATATATAATAATAATATTATTATTATAATATTACTTCTAATAATAATGCTAATACTACACTCTAAAAAATGCTGGGTTAAATATAACTCAGCACTGGGTTAAAAAGGGACAAACCCAGCTCCAGCTATGGGTTGTTTTGAACCAGCTATTGGGTTGTTTTGACCCAGCGGTTGGGTTGTTTTGACCCAGCTATGGGTTGTTTTGAACCAGCTATTGGGTTGTTTTGACCCAGCTATTGGGTTGTTTTGACCCAGCTATTGGGTTGTTTTGACCCAGCGGTTGGGTTGTTTTGACCCAGCTATTGGGTTGTTTTGACCCAGCGGTTGGGTTGTTTTGACCCAGCTATTGGGTTGTTTTGACCCAGCGGTTGGGTTGTTTTGACCCAGCTATTGGGTTGTTTTGACCCAGCGCTGGGTTGTATTTAACCCAGCATTCTTTAGAGTGTAATAAGAATAAATATGCATATTAGTAATCATTTACATTACTAATTTACATTAATAAGAATATTATTATTAAGTTAATTAAAATAAAATATTTAAATTCATTAATTTATTAATTTATTTTGTCTTTTAGCAACGGTCAGTGACATGAAGTGCCTAAACTTGCCTATAAATTGTTGTTTCTAATTTATTTATTTTATTTTATTCTAATTTATTTTTGCAACCATGATACATCAACCATGAATTTTTAAACAGTTTAAATGTGATATTTGTTGATAAATGCATATTTATTAAATATCAAAATAATAATAATAATAATGTTAAATTAAACATTACTATTATCAAAATCCGTTTCCCCCACTTTTTAACACAGAATGGCTTTTATTTTACAAAAATGATCTCTGCTGATGTCTGAACTTCTTCAGTTTATGTTCTAGAAAGCATATTTCTCTGATGGCAAACAACAGGGTCACCAAATCTGACAAGGCTCAAAAGTTGTAGGAAGGGGCCAAGTTAGTATGATGTGACAGAAAAAAAAACACCTATAATCTCCATGATGCTTCTCAGTCACCATAATGCCCTGTTCTTCAGTGTGCTACAAATAATGGCATGTGGTTGATAACCCATCCAGAACTGCGGTGCATTGGGTAAGCATTAATGGATGTGTGGTTGTGGTTCAAGCTGAGAGAGCATGAAACATCTGGCCGTAACTGCTCAAACTCTCCAGAGCATGCCAGAAGGAATCATTTGGCCTCAAGTTTATTTCCCTTACTTCCTCAAATGTGTTATAGCATGTGGAACATCTGTCTGGCACTTACTGTGTGGTTTCAAATGATCTCGTCTGCAGGTTTTGTCGGAAGAAGAGAAGGGCTCCACAGCAGGAGAAGAAGATGAGGAATGGGAGAAGGCCTTGTCTGTGGAGAGGTTTGGGGACATCATCACTGAGTCTGCCATCAATGGAGCAGACAAAATGGGCCGCAGCTACAATGAGAAAGACTTTGAGTGTAAGTACTGTCTGATGCGTAACTCACTGACTCTGGACCACAAAACCAGTCATAAGGGTCAATTTTTCGAAATTGAGATGTATACATCATCTGAAAGCTGAATAAAGAAGCTTTCCATTGATTTATGGTTTGAAAATCAATTTGTAACAATTTGAAAATCTGGAATCTGAGAGTGCAAAAAAAATCGAAATATTGAGAAAATAGCCTTTAAAGTTGTCCAAATGAAGTTCTTAGCAATGCATATTACTAATAAAAAAAATTATTTTTATATATTTACGGTAGGAAATTTACAAAACAACTTCATGGAACATGATCTTTAAATCCTAATGATTTTTGGCATAAAATAATAATTTTGACCTATACAGTATATTTTTGGCTATTGCTAGAAATATACCTGTGCTACTTATGACTGGTTTTGTGGTCCAGGATCGCATATGTGCACTCAATTTTCAATAATTCCTGAGTGGATCATCTTAATGTCATGTTGGTTAGAAAAGTTTTGACATCTGTTTAGTTTAGTGTTCAAGTTTAGTGGTCATTTGAGACAGATTTGGATTAATAATAGTAATATTAATAATAATATTTATTATAATTATTGCAATTATTATTTATATTGATATCAGTATTTTATTAATATTTATTAAAATCATTATTAATAATAATAATAATAAAATAATTGTGTAATTCTAATTGCTATTAATATTCATTTTAGTTAGTTAATATCAACGTTATTGTAGTACAAGCAATAATAATAATAATAATAATAAATGTTAATACATTTTTCTTATTATTGGTTTTAGTTTTTATTTCTTTCGTTTAACATTATTATTAATAATAGTAATACTATAAATTATTAATGTAGATTATTATCATTATGCATATTTTATTATTTTTAATAATAATAATACTACTAATAATAATAATAATGGTCAGAAAAGGCAACTAACTGAAATAGATAAGTTTAGGTTAAAGTACTAAAATTACTGAAATGAAAACTGGTATAAAAATTTAAGGTAAATACAACTGTTATTTTAGTTATTTATTTAAGTGTTATTTTAGTATTATAATATATAATACTAAAATAACACTTTACCACCAACATTTCAAGTATTTTGCTGGTCCTTTTTTTCCTGTAAGATGGTTGTTTTTCACCCATGAATTTGGCAAAGTTGACTTTTGGAATAATTGATTATTGACAGTACAGTAGGTGGTATAGGACACATTAGCATTCATAATTTAAATGTAATCAGTGCATTTCTGACTTCCTTCAAATCTGGTTTGATTGATCGGATCTGTTCTGCCATAAAAACATGCAGTAGCTGCGCCATCGCTGTAACTGAGATAAAATGGCTTCAAAGTATTTTGATTGAAATTGAATTTGTATTGATCTGATATCAATTTTCACGCTCCATTTTCTTTGAATCTGAGCATAGTTGAGCCAAACCTGTTTGTCACATGGCAGATCGCACTCTAAGAGTCCCGATCAGTTTCCACAAAATGCATTAAGCACATCAGTGTTTAGAGCTGCATTTAGTGCTGACCGCTTGTGACTGGATTCCTGGAGACAAATATTAATAAACGTGTAAATTAGGTCAAAGATACAGTCATTTCAAAACATACATTGTTAAAAGCTATTAAACTTTAAATGTTTTCAAAGCATCAGGTTGCTAGAAAGTTCCATGTTCAGATGTGTGATTCTACAGAAGGTGCCTCAGAAGTACAGACAAGACTTTTAACGGCTCTCTCACATTCCCCGGCCTCATGTGGGGCTGCGTCTGTGCCAGTCGCTTTCCGGACCCTGATAAATCAAGGCTCACATTTCCATCTACATGTGGCGACAGTAGTGGGAGGTGTAAACTAGCCTGTGATTCATTCACAGCGGAGCCGAGAGGCAGCTGCAGGACAAATCACATATTAACATCTCTGTTGCAAGAACTACTCATACAGTCAGCATCAAATTCACAGACTTAGACAAACTGTATGATATTTGCTATTTTGTGCACAATTCATCAGTGTTATTCCAAAGGAAAAAAAATGTTGTCTTTGTAATCTTTTCACAAATCAGTCATACTTTTCAACCCTCCACCCATCTGATTCCTGTTTTGTGTGTAAATTCCCCATTTTCAAATTCCAATCAGTTCTCTTATTCAGTTTTTATTATTATCATTATATTTGTGGCCAGAATTGCACCAAATGGAATTCATTTTTAGAACATTTGCACAGTCTTGGTCGACAAACAGATGTACTTCTACACCACCGTTAAACAGTAAAAAAAAAAAGGTTTTGAAAGAAGTCTTGTTCACCCAGGCTGCATTAATTTGATCAAAAATGCAGTAAAAAAAGGTAATATTTTGAAATATTATTACAATTTGAAATAACTATTTTCTATTTGAATATATTTTAAAATGTAATTAATTTCTGTGATACAAATCAAATCTCAGGTGAAAACTGTCAATTTGACCTTCCTCTGTAAAATAGTGCATTCCTCAGTAAATATTCATCCATGACATTAAAAAAAAAAAAAAAAATTGGAATGAACCGGAAAAGTTGTATTTGATTGCCCTCTGCTGGCTAACTGGCTTCTTGCAACATATATAAATTATGCACAATTGGTTAAGGTTAATGTACAAATAAACCATCATTAGACATGTATGTATAGCATGGCCTGCGTTATTTAATTTTAACTGTTGCTTTGAATTATGGGCCCCCTGACTGTATATTTGTCTGGGTCTCTGACATTAAATTAATGCAAATGCACCAACATGATGTGCAGTGGTTTAGTGAGTTTAATCTCACTTAATTTTTATAAAAATTATTTATGTAATTTCTTACGGTATATAATTTCAACTCTGTATGAACTGAATAACAATTATCTGCAGACGAAATTTAGCTATGCAGCTAATTCATTGTAAATACACTATTAAATGAAATAAATATAAAGTAATTGGGACCATGGCGAGCATTAAGCTGAATTTATGATGCATCTTAAGCTTAGTTTGAAAAATGTATAGTTGAGAAGATGTAGCTAGTTTAATAAATGATTATAAGTTATGTAAAAATTTTTTTAAATAAAGTTCTTTGGAGTATGTTTTACAAGAAAACACTTTTTAAGTCCTTCTACATAAACATTTCAAGTTTAATTTAATATTCAATAATAATTAAAAAATTCAATAATAATTTAATAGCAGCTTCTAAGTGAAAATTGTTTTACCACCAACCTTTTTTGAGTGTATTTGTCCATTAAGTCAAAAGTTAGTTTTAAGAAATGACAAAAACACATTTCCATTACATTTTTTTAGTCCTTTTCAGCATTTCTGAGAAATGGTTAAGCCAGTCACCTAGAATCATGCTCATCTTTCTCTCGATTAGCAATGCAATTCTGTTAATGCCCTCAGACTAATAACAATGAACATAAAATTGGTTAAAAGCATAGTTTTTAAGGCAATACTCAATTGTAGGTTTCTTTTTACAGGTTTAGCCCATCTCCAGAACCTGCCAGTATGGCAACGCGAGGCTGGTTTCGCAGGAAGCCCATCCACCGGCTGGCTGGAGCCCAGCGGACCAGCTATGACCTACGAGAACGCATCTGTATAGGCAGCATGACAGCTATAGAGACTGCGGTGTACCAAAAAGTACCTACAGACGAGGCGGAGGCTCAGATGCTAGCCAGCGCTGATCTGGATGACATGAAAAGTAAGCAAAGTAAATTCTGGAAGGGATGTAAAAATAACAAGACACTAATATTCACTGATATTTAAGACAAAATATCTCCTCAGTTTTACCTGCTTTTCCTTTTGATATTTTTTACATCAGATATGATCACTGGAATATTCCTATGCACAATTTCATATTTTTTCATATTTTATTTTATCAAAATTAAATTACTAATAAATATCAAAAAATTCCTAAAATCCGATATTTTTTTTAATTTACTTGAATAGCAACACTGCATGCAATTTAAGACTTGTTATTAAAGAGTATAATTTTAATACAGCTGTAATTTTTCTCACTGCACTGGGACATTTTTTTAAAGTGTAAAGTAATATGTAATAAACACATACATATATATTGTATACACAGACACACACACACACACACACACACATGTATATATATATATATAGTGCCGTGAAAATTTTTTGCATATTTGTCACACTTAAAAGATTCAGACCATCAAACTAATTTTAATATTACACAAAGATAATGCAAGTAAATAAAAAATGCAGTGTTTAAATTATGATTTCATTTATTAAGGGAAAAAAGCTGTCCAAACCTACCTGGCCCAACGTGAAAAAATAATTGCCCCCTCCTGTTAAATTATGAAAGAACTGTGATTAACAACATTAATTTAGAACGCTGAGTTAAATTGGCAGTAATTAAATCTGGCAGTAATCAGGCACACCCAGGCCTGAATACTGCCAGACCTGTTGAATCAAGAAATCACTTAAATAGAAGCTGTCTGACAAAGTGAAGCATGCTGAAAGAGCAACACATCATGCCACCATCTAAAGAAATTCAAGAACAGATGAGAAACAAAATAGTTGACATGTATCAGACTGGAAAGGGTTATAAAGCCATTTCTAAGGCTTTGGGACTCCAGCAAACCACGGTCAGAGCCATTATCCACAAATGGAGAAAACTTGGAACAGTGGTGAACCTTCCCGAGTGGCCAGCCTACCAAAATTACTCCAAGAGCACAACCACGACTCATCCAGGAGGTCATAGAAGAACCCAGAACAACATCTAAAGAACTGCAGGCCTCACTTGCCTCAATTAAGGTCAGTGTTCATGATTCAACTATAAGAAAGAGACTGGGCAAAAACGGCATCCATGGGAGAGTTCCCAGGCAAAAGCCACTGCTGACCAAAAAGAACACAAAGGCTCATCTCTCATTTGCCAAAAATATCTTGCATCCATGGGAGAGTTCCAAGGCAAAAGCCACTGCTGACCAAAAAGAACACAAAGGCTCATCTCTCATTTGCCAAAAATATCTTGATTATCCCAAAGACTTTTGGGCAAATATTCTGTGGACTGATGAGACAAAAGTTGAACTTTTTGGAAGGTGTGTGTCCCGTTACATCTGGCGTAAAACCAACACAACGTTTCATTAAAAAGAACATCATTCCAACAGTCAAACATGGTGGTGGTGGTAGTCTGAGCTTCAGGACCTGGACGACTTGACATAATTGATTTCTGCACTCTATCAGAAAATCCTGAAGGAGAATGTCCGGCCGTCAGTTTGTGTCCTCAAGCTCAAGCGCACTTGGGTTATGTAGCAGGACAATGATCCCAAACTCACCAGCAAGTCCACCTCTGAATGGCTCAAGAAAAGCAAAATTAAGGTTTTGGAGTGGCCAAGTCAAAGTCCGGACTTAAATGCGATTGAGATGCTGTGATCAAGCTCGAAAACCCTCCAATGTGGCTGAATTAAAACAATTCTGCAAAGAAGAGTGGGTCAAAATTCCTCCACAGGGATGTAAAAGACTCATTGCCAGTTATCGCAAACACTTGATTGCAGTTGTTGCTGCAAAGGGTGGCTTAACCAGTTATTAGATTTAGGGGGCAATTACTTTTTCATGTAGTGCCAGGCAGGTTTGGACAGCTTTTTTCCCTTAATAAATGAAATAATTATTTCAAAACTGCATTTTGTATTTACTCGGGTTATCTTTGTGTAATACTAAAATTTGTTAGATGATCTGAATCATTCAAGTGTGACAAATATGCAAAAAATAAATAAAAAACAGGAAGGGGGCAAAAACTTTTTCACAGCACTGTACATATATATGTATGTATGTAAAAACAATGCAAAGCACTGTGGTGCTAGATATTTTATGGATCTTTATCTACTGGACTTTAAGTATAAAGAAGTTCAAACAAATGGGGAAAAAAGCATTGGAATATGACAAATAACATATTATAGACCTAACTGTTTTTGGAAACAGGTCTTAATATGTTGTACAGTTCTGTTTCTCAAGTAAAATTATTTAGTTTCAAGGATTTTTAGACATTTTTACTGGAAAACAATACATACACACAAACAAATGTTTTGTGTGTATATATTTTTTTTCTTTCAGTGTGGTGAGCATAAAACATTCACAGATGGCTGATTAAATCAAGAAAGCTTTATTTCAGGGTCCTGATCTGTTTTTTTTAAATGATAATCATACATCTTCTTTAAGACAGTACTTAATTAAGAAAGTACATCATTTTTATTGATCTATTATTTCCCCCTGGATTCTGGTAAACTTAATGTTTTTTCAGCCTTATAGCCTTTTGTCCTATGTCTCAAAAATCAGTGCACTTACTGATTTGAGTTTTCAATGTGTGTAGCCATGATGATTAAAATAAGGATTAAAGCAGACAACCTGCATGTTGTTGCGGCCATTCGATCTTAATTGAAATCAGTGCTGTAACTCAAACAAAATTAGATAGGCATGTTTGATTTTATGTGTCATTGGAGCCACACCAACGAACAAGTCTCAGGCCGACGGTTCAACTTGATCTTGACAAGCCAAAGCTCATGGCCCCTCCAAATGCTCATTAAACACTCACTCCAGAGGAGGGGAGTGATGACAGGGAGTGTTTGTTTAGTGGACTTAGAGGTCTGCATTGGCAAGCTCTCTAGTAAATTTGGGGGCGCTGGGGTATTTGTGTCCATACTCATAAATGTGTTTTGGTGGAAAGCAGAGCAGCAGGATCATTGGCTGGCCGTGGTCAGCACTCGGCTTGCCCTCTCCTCCCTTTCCCGCGGTTGTAAACAAGCCTTCAAGATGTTCAGATGTGGTCAGGATCACTGGATCTGCGCCATGCACCAAAATGCTTCCCGTTTTTTTTTTTTTTACATTAATTATTATCCTTAATAAAGTAAGCTCAACTGATTACAGGGTATGACAGCCCAAGAATACTACTACTCCATTAAAAACCCTTGCAGGAGTGTAATTGGCACTTTCCATGAATAGAGTACACTCTGGTGTCCCATTACTTTGTTTTTAAGTATTATAAACACAAATATATATATTTTTTTGGTTGGGAGAAATGTTACTTTAACTGTTATTTGAGATACAATCAACATAACATGAAGAATAGGTAGGTAATATCAAATGTCTGTCCATAGCAGTGGTGACCGCAATTGTTAAGCTTAACCTTTTCACCCATTTACCAAAGTTGTGAGGGAAAAACATACTATTCATTCATTACTTTAGGACAAATCAGGGTTGTCCAAACCTGTTCCCGGAGGGTCACTGACCTGCAGTGTTTAGCTCCAACCCTAATTAAACACATCTGAACCAGCTAATCAAGGTCTTTAAGACTCACTAGAAACTCCCAAGCAACTGGTTGGAGCTAAACTCTGCAGGATGTTGGCCCTCCAGGAACAGGATTAAACACCCCTGTTATAGATAACTAAGGTTGCATTTACATTACATGGTTCAAGTGACCCAATTCCAATTTTTCCTCCCATGTGGCACAGGTAGAATATGCCCCACGAACATGTAAGCAGGAAGAACGCGCATGGGTTCTGATATTGTCAGATCAGTTTCAGGTCTCATTCATGTGTAAAAATAAATCTGGTATGAATCGGATGAGTGCATTTGCATCTGCCATGTAAGTGGACAGATTGGGTATTCCCTTGTCAATGTGAGTCGTACATCATTGAAAAAGCGACGGTGGTGAATAAAGTGTTACCAAGTCTGTGGTTTTCTAGTGGAATTGGGCTAATTTTTCACTGTTACCGGGTTGTTTTTTAGTGCACGATTTAAAGTAATCCCTTTCCCCTCAGGTATTTCAGAGGGGGACCCTTGCTGGAGGGGAAATGGCGTACAAGTGTTTTGAATAGCCATTTTGCTGGTTCTGTTTCGCAGACCTGGCAAACTGTCAGTTTGTCTACCCTGGGTTGGTTCACCAATTGTATAGTGTAAATGCCAAGTTCTGTCATGAAACTCTTGATGGCACAGGGTCCTTAACGCACACTGATGATATTCCCAGCATTGAACTTGGCTTCAAGCTGATTGGTTCATGTTGCATACGCAGCCAATGAACTTGCTGCTTTACATTTAAATGGCTGGTTTGCATTCACTAGAGCAGCTCGCAGCACACTTTTAGAGTTCCTCTGAAACCCTCCACTTTCCCCAGCTCCACCTGTATAGAACTGTATAGAGCATAAAACCATTTCATTTCATTTAGTTGTGAAAAACACTGTATAGACATTAAAAATAATAAAAATTACAAAAATACACAGAAGAATTATTAAAACGTTAACTAAAATGTAAAAGTAAAACAAAAAATATCAAAACAAAACCATTTTATTTGATTTTGATGTTTAATGAATATGTATTTATCAACAAATCTTAGATTTAAATCGGAGATGTTGAGATAAACAGGGTTGAGGTATCATGGTTGCAAAAATAAACAAAATATAAAATAAAACTGCTCATGTAATATTTAGTTTGAACTACTGGACTGGACAATGACACATTTTTTAAAGGTTAGGCACTTCATGTCACAGACTCTTGCTAAAAAACAAATACATTTTTTTAAAGCTGTTCTTTTTAAAAAAAAAAAGAAAGACACTATTGTACACCCTATTCATGGAAAGGAGGATTCCTGAAGATGTGCTGCACATGACTATGTTGTAAAGTTCTTCCTGGCGTGAAGGGTTTGGTTTAAATATGCTCCCATGCTCCAGTTGCCCTCCC